CGTGTGTGTGTGTGTGTGTGTGTGCGTTTGTGTTTGATCTGCATTGGTGAGGGACGTTGAACGAAATACTGAAGCAAGTAATTAATTTCAGAGATCTGGGCAATTATTTTGACGCTTTCAAATCAATTACGAAGGGACCACCCCCATAATACCTATTGTTTGTCTTCGAAGTTTGAGAGAACATGATCCAGGACTCTTTAACAGCTAAAAATTGCAACAGTGTTCCTCGAAGGTTTGGTTTCATTTTCATTCTCAAGACACTAACGGGAGAAAATTGCTTTTTTTTTTTTTCTTCTCTTGATTCTGAACTGGCACTGTTTAAGGGTGTAGATCTATGGCTGACTGCCTCACGGGAGAAAGGGGCATTATATAAAAATACTTATCTCGAAATTGTAATCGACGATTGGTGAGCACTTCTCAGCGGCCCGTTTTCCCAAATAAAACAGATAAGGTCATCCTGAAAAGGACTTGCTGACTTCACCGTGTGAAATCAGACATCTTCTAAGTGACTGATCTTATTATTTAACGGAGAAAAAGGACTCCTTGTTGCCAATAGACTGACACGTGCAAATGAAATAATAACAGATACACATCTACGTCTTTTCAAATTTTGTTTTATTTGACAGAATTATTTTACATCTTTCAAACAGTTTTCTGGGCCAGTGTTCTTTTGAGTGTTTGGGGGTTTTGTTATTGTTGTTGTTTTTTGTTTGGGTTTTTTGTTTGTTTGTTTGTTTATTATTTTTGTTTTTCCTCTTGCTTGCTTTTTAATCTAGGTGTTTTACGCCCCCAATTCTAATTGGGGCGTTAACAACAAAATGATGAGTTACGACATGAATATGGGAGGTGATATTTCGGTCAGAGATGAAGGAAAGTAATAAATACCTGATATGTTAAGGGGATGACCAGCGAGTGAGAGAACGCTTTATTATGTTTAATAAGCTAAGGAACCCAACGTCACAAGCTAACAAAGACTTTAGTATACATAAATTCCAATACAGTTTGTGAATTTTTATCCCATTTTAAAAGACAAAGGGTAGCCTACTGTAGTTATCATTATCATCATTTAATTTCAAAGTTATAAAACATTTTTTTTTGGGGGGGG